GTGTGTGTGTGTGTGTGTGTGTGTGTGTGTGTGTGTGTGTGTGTGTGCGTGTGTGCGCGCGCGTGCTCGCACTCTCACATGCCTCACACTTGCTAGGCAAGTGCGTTCCAGTGAGCTGTATTCGCAGTGCCCTGAGCTTCTGGCCAGGTCTCTCCTCACCCTGTAGACATGCTGCGATTACAGATGTGCATCGCCACACTGGCTTTGTACGTGGGTTTCATAGATTAAATTCAGATCATCAGGCTCGCTCTGCTGGTGTTTTCACCTGCTGAGCCATCTCCTCCCAGAGCTAGCATTTTCAACAGGCTTTTCCGTGCTGTGCTGGTGAAACAGCACCAGCCATGAGCTCCATGAAACTTAAGAGAGTCAGTCTGGATGAGGAGATGGGGGACCCTGCTTTCTGAGGCATCTTTGTGTCCCACCCCACGCTTTCCCATCATCTACATTCCTGCAAGCTCCAGAACTTACGGAGTCGCTTGTAGCCCCTGCTTACTGAGAAACAGATGAGTTCGCTAAAGAAAACAAGGAGTTTCAGGGAGGGAAACATCCTCACCAGGCTCAAGCGCCCTGGCACCGCTGTGGAGGGAGGGGGCTTCTGTGGTGGGCAGTGCATCGGGGCTGTCTGCATGTCTCCCTGGAAATGCTGCTTCTGAACATGCGTGAATATGGCCAGGAGTCAAGGCTGAGCCTGGACAATTCTCCCAGGAGCACAGCAGCTGGCAGCTGCAGGGTCAGGCCTCCCCAACCAAAACCCTGGCTGTGGTACCCTGTCGTCAGTGACTATGGGTGAGTTCTTTGTGCCGGCCTCAGCTTGCCCATCACTGAGATGGGAATGATCGCCCACCCTTAATAGACTTCATGCCAAGTGGTGCCAGCCGTCTGTTAGTGGTTCGTAAATGTTAGTTCCCACTCACAGCCCAGCACACTCGTTGGGCATGAGAGCACTGACGCTGGGAGTGGAGGGCTGGTTCAGATGGGGTCTGACTGGGGCTGGAGAGCCTTCGCCATCCGACTCCATAGGATGGTCCTTTGACCTTGCTTCTCAGGTTCACCAGACTGCAAAATCACCTGGTTTTGTTTGTTTGTTTGTTTGTTTGTTTGTTTGTTTGTTTGTTTGTTTGTTTTGGAGATTTCCCCATCCTACCAGCCTTGGTCTGTGTTGGAAATCATTCAGCAATGCTGAGACTCTTCAAAACCACGGTTCTCAACCAGTGGGTCACAACCCCTCTGGGGGTTAAGCGACCTTTTCATGGGGGTCACCTAATATCTGCATGTCAGATATTTATGATTAATAATTGTAGCAAAATTACAGCTACGAAGCAGTAGTTATGGTTGGAGGGCACCATGCGAGGAGCTGTATTAAAGAGCCGCAGCCCCGGGAAGGTTGAGAACCAACAGTCTAGAGTTAAGGGCTCTCACGGGCCCGCTTCTCCGAGGTCCTTAGCATCTCAGTCAGGTCTTTGTGGTACCCAGGCCTCTTCAGTCCCATCCTTGGAGGTGCGTGCCATGTGACATGTGCCACTTACGGATGTTTATTTGGTGTGCCTGCATTTCTTAGACGGTTAGGGATATCCTAGAACATATCATTCATCGAAAAATAGATGTTTTGTTTTGTTTGTTTGTTTGTTTGTTTGTTATGCTTTGTTTTGTCTTGGTTTTGGTTTGTTGAGACATAGTAACCCAAGCTAGCCTAAACCTTAACTACATAGCTGAGACTGGCCTCACGCTTGTGAGCCATCACGCCCACACCAGCTTTGATCCAACTTACTTTTGGGACAGTAGGTCTTCTTGCTTCACAAACATAAAAATTAAGCTGGGTACAGTGACACATGCCCGTAATCCCAGCACTTGGGAGGAGAGGCAGGAGGATCTTTGTGAGTTTTGAGGCCAGCCTGGTTTACAAAGTGAGTCCAGGACAGCCAAAGCTACACAGAGAAACCCTGTCTCAAAAAACAAAAACAAAAAAATCAAAATCAGACTGGAAAGTTCCATCTTCATTTCCTTTTCTATATTCCACTATCCTCTAAAGTAGTATATGTCATAACAAACACAAAAGCGCTCACTTTGTGAAGGTTTCACACCAGGAGTGTAGTCAGTGTAGGGCTGGAGCTGTCTCAAACAAGGGTAGGCCCACAGGCGCTGAGCAGTCCTGCTTCCTTCGATGCAGAGTCCTGTGGAACTCTTCTGGGTTCCCTGGGGAGCCCCCTCGGATGCTTCACCTCACATTTTGGGAGCGGGATTAGAGGAGAGGCATTGTAAGTGGAAGTCTTGTAGGTGAGTGAGTTTCAGTCAAGGTCATCAGCCTTTCAGAAGAAACACCAATAAAAAGTCAAAGTTCATGTGGGCTGACTAGCCAATCTTGATATTCGTTAAGTAACCAGAAGAGACATTGTCCACTGATAGGCAAAAGCCCCAAAACCCCACATGGCTGAGCTCCTGTCTGTCCAGTCAGCAAGTCTGGAAACAAAAGCTGGGTCAGACTAGTCTGTTCCCGCTGTCGCCCCCTGGCGGTGCCACTCCAGAGGAGCCATACGGGACATGTTTAGTAAGTTCTCTTTGAGTTGGCAGGAGGAAGTGGGAAGCCAGCTCTGGCCAAGTGTCCTAGTGACCAAGCATGGAGCGAGACCCCATCTCTCTGAATCCTCATACCACCCTGGAGCCATGTCCCCACCATTCACGTAGAAACATGGTTGATAGAGGCTAACAGCCTTTCTGTAAATGGCCTAACCAGATTCTAAGCACAAGCTGCTTGTATCCATACTGCTTCCTGCCATGTCAAGCTGCAGGATCCCAGAGAGGAAAGGGAGACCCCAGACTTCCAGATCACATAAGGAGGGGCACTGGCCAACCCCTCCCCAGAAGCCTTCTGTGTACCCAGATGCTGGGGAAATCGCTACAGAGTAAACGGTGATATAAATACGGGCCTGTCTGCATGGACCTAGTTCTTTGGGAAATAACTGGGGCTGGGGAGATAGTCCAGTGGCTGAAGTGCATTGTGAGGACTTGAGTTCAGATTCCCCAGACCCCATATAAAAGGCAGGCGAGCAGGGTAGCCACCTGTCTCCATCCCGGAACTTGGAGACAGGAGTTCCCCAGGCAGGCTGCTGGTTAGACTAGCCAGTAGGCACGAGCTCTGGGTTCAGCAGAGACCCTGCCCCAGTAGAGAACCACAGAGGTAGACACCGGACTTCAGCCGTCACAAACATGCGCTTACTGTACATGCATACGAGAAACAAAGCCAGGTGGTTATAATAAAATTGCTACACAGGGCACTGGAGAGATCAGCAGCACTGGCTGCTCTTCCAGAAGACCTGAGTTTAGTCCTCAGCATCCACATGGCCGCTTGCAACCTGTAACTCCAGTTCCAGGGGATCTGGAGTCCTCTTCTGTGCTCCTCATGCACGCAGAACATCTACATGCACTCAACATACGCATACAATTAAGTAAATTTTTAAAGAGAAAGTTGCTACAAGGAACGCTAAGGATCCAGCAAAGTGATTCTCAGCCATCCTAATGTGACCGTTTGTTTCTCTGTGTAGCTCTGGCTGTCCTGGAACTCTCTCTGTAGACCAGGCTGGCCTCAAACTCAGACTCCCGAATGCAGAGATTAAAGGTGTGCACCACCTCATCCAATTCCCCCCGTCGAGCTGCAGCCCCAGCCTGCCCCCTCATCCTGACTCGGGGTCTCTGGGTCTTTCAGGTACGGCTTGAGGTGTTTCGGGCAGAAGAACTGATGGCCTGTGCTGGGCTCACCTCACCCAGAATCGTCCCTCTCTACGGAGCCGTGAGAGAAGGCCCTTGGGTCAACATCTTCATGGAGCTTCTAGAGGGTAAGGGGACAGGTCCTTTCTGTTTGTTTGTCTGTTTTCTCTCTCAGAATTCGAGGCCAAGAGTTAACCCACACTCGGATCTTGGCCTCTAGTCAGTCCACATTGTGCCTCTTACCCCTTCTCTCCCATATCACCTGCCCTTCGCTCTCGCCCTTGGCTTGCGTGGAGGCCTGGGAAAGTCCCACACAAAGACTGGCTGTTCTTTACCTAGGTGGCTCTCTGGGCCAGCTCATAAAACAGAAGGGCTGTCTGCCAGAAGACCGAGCCCTGTACTACCTGGGCCAGGCCCTGGAGGGGCTGGAGTACCTCCACATCCGAAGGATTCTGCATGGTGATGTCAAAGGTAAGATCCTAGTCACCGTGTCACCGTGGTCCCAATCACAACGGGCTCTTCCTCATGCCTTTCCACCTGATTTCCTCCCGGTTGTGGGCCTGCGTGCTTGTCTGGAGGGCAGAGGCCTGAATCAGCTGACAGGGCTGTGTCTAGTGGGTGGGGAATGATGTTTTCCAGGCCGCTGGTCTAGCACTGTAGTGTCCTGGGTTGGTGTTCACAGAAAACTGGAGGCTAAACTCCTGCCTCTGGGAAAGGGTGGGGCAGCAAAGAGACCGCTCTGGGAGAGTGGCAGTGACGCAGCAGGACACCCCACTCCAGCTCCTAGCCTCAGCTGACAACCAGCCGCACCCCTCCCCCACCCTCACCCCCACACATCTTCCATGACTAACAAGACTAATGAGAAGCAGCAGCTGCCATTTTCTGGCAGGACTGGCCAAGAAAGTTGCCTGATGAGAGGCCAGGTCAGGCCAGGCCAGGGTGGGCTGGGGCCTGGATTAGCTCACCTACTCCCCTTTCCCCCTTTTTCTGGGTGCTGCCTGCAGCTGACAATGTGCTCCTGTCCAGTGATGGAAGCCGAGCTGCCCTCTGCGACTTTGGCCATGCCTTGTGCCTGCAACCTGACGGCCTAGGAAAAGCCTTGCTCACAGGTAAGGCCCCGTTCTGCACCTCATGATCACAATTACCAGAAGCCATCAAGGGCCAAAAGGGCAAAGGTCCTGCAGAAGGTCCAGGCCTTGTAGTCCTGGCTGACCCAGAACTTGATATGTAGACCAGGCTGGCCTCAAATTCACAGAGATCCGACTGCCTCTGCCTCCTGAGTGCTGGGATTTAAAGGTGTGTGACACCCATCCAGGTGAGCAGATCTCTGTGAGTTTGAGGCCAGCCTGGTCTACAGAACAAGATCCAGGACAGCCATGGCTATACAGCCGTCTTTTTTTGTTTGCTTGTTTTGTTTTGTATATGGTTTGTTGTGTCTTTTTTTTTTTTTTTAAGGCATGGTTTTACTGTGTGGTCCAGGCTAGCCACAAACACACAATCCTCCTGTCTATGCTTTGATTTCTTCATCTTGTGTATTAAATGATTATGTCATTTTCACGTGTGCATGTGTGTATATTTGTGTGTATGTGTGTGTGTGTGTGTGTGATTTTACCTTGCTCTTATTTGCACCTCCAGTCTTTCACTATCGATTCTGTCCTCCTCTCACGAGTTCCCTGCCTGCCCTGAGCTCCCCTCCTGCCTTCTTTTTTTGTTACATACATGAATATTTTGCCTGCATGTGTGTCTGTGCGCGACATGTGTGCTTGATGTGTGCTTGGAGGTCAGAGAGGGCATCAGATCCGTTGGAACTAGAATTACAGACAGTTGTGAGCTGCCATATGAGTGCTGGGAATTGAACTTGGGTCATTTGGAACCTTTTAACTGCTGAGCCATCTCTCCAGTCCCTCTCCCTTCCTTCACTTATATATGTGTATATATGTGTGGTTAAATATAGACCCCAGGGGCTGGAGAGATGGCTCAGTGGTTAAGAACACTGTCTGCTCTTCCAAAGGACCCGGGTTCAATTCCCAGCACCCACATGGCAGCTCACAACTGTCTGTACCGCCAATTCTAAGAGATCTGACATCTTCATACTAATGCACATAAAATGAAATTAAAGAAATTATAAAAAAAATACATATAGATCCCATATGTGAGAGAAAACGTCACATTTTGTCTGTTTCCCCCATTGCCCTCCATGTTCCCCACTCTTCCCTCCCTCTGGGATTTTCCTCCCCTTTCATTAGTGTTGTTCCCCCCCAGCCACCATTTTTGTTTGTTTTTGAAACAAGCCAGGTTTCAACCAGGTTGGCTTCAAACTCAGAGATCCTCCTGCCTCTCCCTCCCACGTGTGCTGGGATTAAGGGCATGTGCCATCACGCCCAGCTCAACTGTTCCTTCTGTTTTCATATCACAAACACACTTATTTATATTTAAGGCTGGAAAGATAACGTAGAGTGCTTACCTACCATGCAGGACATCTTGGCTTTCCAGCATCCTATAAATTGGGTATGATAGCACATACCTGTAATCCCAGAACACCTACACCTATAAACCCATGATATATATAAATATATATATATAAACCGATTTTATATATATATATATATATCATATATAATGTATACATACATGAGACAGGATCTCATGTAGCTCAACATATATATGTGTGTATATAATATATAGTTCATATGTATTATAATACATATATGTACATATGTAGAATCTGCATATATGAAAACATGTAAATATATGATTCTTGTCTTCCTGCATCTGCTTTATTTTGCTTCACATGTCGCTCTCTAGTTCCATCCATTTTCCTGCCAATGATATAATTCCTTCTTTCTGGCTCTGTGAAACCCTACTGTGTATATGTATCACATGTTCTTTGTCCATTTATCTATCGATAAGTATGTAGGCTGGTTCCGTGTCTTGGCTATTATGAATAGTTCAGTGTATCACTTAAGAGTATTCTACATAAAATGATTCATTCAAAAAAAAGGTTCTATTTTTTCTTGTTTTATTTTTAATGTATGATATGCAAATGTGTATGCAGGTGTCTTTGGAAGCCAGAAGAGGGCGTGGGGTCCCTGGGAGCTGGAGTTACAGGCAGTTGTGAGGCACCCCATGTGGTGCTCAGAACTGAACGGGGTCCTCTGGAAGAGCAGCCATTGCTCTTTGCTGAACCTTCTCTCCAGCCTACAAATGGTTCTGTTTGGCGAAAGGGAAACTGATCTATTAGAAGTCTAAGCATCCCCTCCCTACCCAAAATCACCCTGAAGCCACAGCTTTTGGGGTGCCCATCAGACTCACGCCTGTGTCACACAAACCTCACACACAGGCTTGGGTCCCATCTCTAAGGCTGCCTGCCCACTGTAGATTGGAAGTATTCCTAGAATTAGAAAAATGAAAAGCAGAATACTTCGGCCATCCTGTTTTGGATAAGGACGCTCGCTCAGCCCGTGTCCAGAATGGGTAGGGTGATGTGCGGTGTGGGTGACCTGGGGGCACAACGTCCTAACGAGGCGCTACTCAGTCTTTTGATGGTCCTTCACAAAAATCATATCCTTTCTACTATTTTTTTAAAGGATTCTGAGCAAAAACGTAAAGTTCAAAGCACCAGTGTACAAACACTGTCAGGTCAGGCGTGAATGTCAGTTAATCCCATAACTCAGGAGGCGGAGACAAGTGGATCTCTGTGAGTTTGAGGCCGGCCTGGTCTACAGAGCAAGTTCCAGGATAGCCAGGGTCTACACAGAGAAACATTCTCTCAGGGGTTGGGGGGAGGTAATAATAATAAAACATTGTTAGCCAAGCCTGTAATCCCAACCACTTGGGAGACTGAGGCAGGAGAATTGGAAGTTCAAGGCCGGCTTTGACAGTTAGTGAGACCCTGTCTCAAAATAAAGAGTGGAAAGGGGGATGGGCTCAGTGGTAAGGTGCTCCCCTAACATGCATAAGGCCAGGATGCAGTCCCTAAGATTGGAAGGAAAAAAGGTTGACATTCACTTAATCAATTACATATGCTGGCTGTCGTTTACCTGTTTAATAATAAGATGCTTTGTGCTTATAAGTTTCCTGATAGAGGAAGGTGGAAGGAGAGAACCAACGCCAAATGACCTCCACAGGCATGTCATGGCGCACATGTGTGCGCACACATCCGCACAATATAATTGCTTTTCATTTAAAGTACTTCACCTGGAGTGAGCCAGGAATCAAGTAGAGTGGGCACTGAACTCATAGGTAATGAGTCTCTCCCTGGCCCTGCTCCCTCAGGGGACTACATTCCTGGCACAGAGACCCACATGGCCCCGGAAGTGGTGATGGGGAAGCCCTGTGATGCCAAGGTGGACATCTGGAGCAGCTGTTGCATGATGCTGCATATGCTGAATGGTTGCCACCCCTGGACTCAGTACTTCCGAGGCCCGCTCTGTCTCAAGGTCAGTGAGGGCCCCAAAGCAGCTGTGGGAGGGGCCAGCAGGGCCATGGGCCCAGGCCACAGGCTTGTGAGGGTTGTTCTTCTATGACAGATGTAACGGGAGGTCTCTCTTGCCTGTGCCCTGGGCTACCTCCACCTGCCTCCTTTAGACTAAGCCTGGGAACATGGCATCCCATTGCCAAGCTCTGTCCTATGCTGCATGGAGCCATGTTTCCATTTTCTAGGAAGACTCTGTCCACTGGCTGTGACCCAGCCCTCTCCCTTCCTGTGGTACATCCCTAAGCTAGTGTGTGGGAGGGGATGGTAGAGAGAATACCTGTGTGAGAGAATAACTGTGTGGAGGGAATAAAGAGGAGACAGGTCCCGCATGTTGCCTTTTGGCCTCTAGATTGCCAGCGAGCCTCCGCCTGTGAGGGAAATTCCACCTTCCTGCGCACCCCTCACAGCCCAGGCCATCAAGGAGGGGCTGCAGAAAGAGCCTGTTCACCGAGCATCTGCCGTGGAGCTTCGAGGGAAGGTGGGCCAGGCATTACAGCAAGGTAAGCCTTGTTTGCCTTGGCCAGCAGAGAGCCCCGGGCAGAGGGACAGTCGGAACAGGAGATGGTCAAAAATGAGAGAAACAGCCTCAGTCTCCCATCTACCTCAGTGCTGGGAAGTTTGAGGCGCGAGTCCGTGTGCTGAGGCAGATGCCAGGCTTGGGACACGGAGGAGGAGGGGCTATGACATGAAAAGGTGACTCTGTAAATTAGAGCCACGCACGCCCAGTAGCCACTCAACTGTAAAGAACCAGAAAGTTGGTGGCACCAAGCGCTGGTGGGCCTGGCAGCAGGACTTCGGGGCACTGGGAGGGCATAGACGAGGCTGCAGCTGTGCTGCAGGGTACCTGGCTGCGATTGGACGCACCCACGCCCTCCACTCCTGGTGCCCTGTTGGCTAGAGAAAGTTGAGAGTGCTTAAGAGTCCCTCAAGGGAGAGTGGAAAAGCAGGCGATTGAGGGTGGGACGGCTCCCAGCACTTACAGCCACTCAGTGTTCACAGAGTACCAGGAACCGATCTGAAAGCTGTAGACAGTCAGTGCTAAAGGAAAAGAAAGAGAAGAACCCCTAAGAGACGGCAGGAGCGTAAGCGCTCTATTACAAGTTAAGAATCAATAATGAAAGCAGCCCTCGTTTTAAGTTGGGGTGGTGACTCATGCCCGGAATCCCAGCACAGAGGAGGCGGAGGCAGCGAGGATTGTTGGACTTTGGGGCCAAAGATAGGAGATAGAGAATGAGACACTGTCTAAAAAAAAGTAAGTAAAACAGAGAGGGACTGAATGTGGTGGCACACACCTTTTTATTAGCACCTGAGAGGCAGAGGTCTCTGTAAGTTCAAGGCCAGCCTGGTCTACATAGCCAGTTGTAGATACATATGTGTGTGTGTGTATGTATAACATATAATATATATATATATGTGTCTGTGTGTATAATAATTATATATAATATATATCTTTCTTTTACAAGAAGGCAGTTAAAGTTAACACATGGGTTGAAGCATATAGCTGCTGCAAGTCTGTGATCTTAGCACTTAAGAGACAAAGACAGGAGGAGTTTGAGATAGAGTGCCAGCCTGGATTACATAGCAAGGCCCTGTGAGAAGAGGGAGAGAGAGAAAGTCAAGTATGGAGCATAATAGAATGTAATTCAAGTGGGAAGGAGACCAGCAGTAGCTAAGGGAGTAAAAGGTAGGACTGAAAAGATGGCCGAGCAGTTAAGTGCACACACTGCTCTTCCAGAAGACCTGGGTTCGGTTCCCAGCACCCACGTCCAGTGGCTCAGAACCACCTGTGAGTGCAGCTCCAGGGCATCTGATGCCCTGTCTTCTGGCCTTGTGGGCCCTGCACGCACATAACCAACACATACATACACACATCATTTAATGTCTTTTTAATTGACAGGGCCATTCTTGCCTGGGCTGGTGTCCGCGTGCCTGCACATGTCCCCTCACCTGGGGTGCCTTCTCTCTTACAGTGGGAGGTCTGAAAAGCCCTTGGAAAGGAGAATATAAAGAACCAAGGCCTCCACCCCCAGACCATGCCACCTGCCACCAGACCCTACACACCCCACCGAGAGAGAACCCGCCAGCCAAGGCCGACACAGCCGGAGCCCCTGAGCCTCAGCCTCCTCTACCGCCAGAGCCACCCGAACAGAACAGAGCGACGGCCTTGAACCTGAGCAAGGAGGAGTCTGGCACATGGGAACCCTTGCCTCTGTCCTCCCTGGACCCAGCCCCTGCCAAGGGCCCCAGCTTCCCAGACCGGAGGGCAACCTTTCCAGAGTTGGAGCTGCAACAGCTGGAGATAGGTAGGGCACTTGGCTGTGGCTATACTCCTCCCTCCACACACACACACACACACACACACACACACACACACACATACACAGAGGTTTTGTTTTTGCCACCCTCACCTTCCCACACGTTTCTGGTAGGCCAGCTCCTGCAGGCTGTGCAGGAGGAACCCTGGGAACCTGCCAACTCCTCCAGCCCTTCACACTGTCCTCCTCTCTCCCCCTGCCCCTGCAGAACTGTTTCTCAACAGCCTGTCCCAGCCGTTTTCTCTGGAGGAACAGGAACAGATTCTCTCATGCCTCAGCATCGACAGCCTCTCACTGTCAGATGACAGTGAAAAGGTGAGTTGCTGAACCGCCTGGCCATGGGCCCTGTGTGAGCATTTAGATAGAGGTCACCCCTCCTTTCTTGGAGGAGTCCTTTCTCCCCAGACAGAGACAGTATGCGTTCAACACTCCTAGGAGTCAGGAAAAGCTCCAGGTAGGTAGTAGGAAGAGTGGGGAGGAAGGGGGGAGTTAGCTTTGGTCCCCATAGAAAAGCACCTTCCCCGTTTTGCCTAGGACAGGCAGGTCCTGACCCTAGGAGAGGCCCAGGTCCTTTTGTCCCAAAGGGAACCAAGGCCAGAGGGTTTCCTGAGCACAGGCCTGAGCCTGTGCCTTCTCTCCTGTTCAGAACCCGTCCAAGGCCTCTCAGAGCTCACGTGACACCCTGAGTTCTGGCGTGCACTCGTGGAGCAGCCAGGCAGAGGCCAGAAGCTCCAGCTGTGGCATGGTGCTGGCCCGGGGGCGGCCCACAGATACCCCAAGCTACTTCAACGGTAAGATCTTCTTAGTCCCTCCTCCAGCCCACCCCTGCCCAGGACAGGGAGGGGTGGAGAGAATCCCCATCACAGAGGGCTAAGGGAGGAACGTGCCCACCACTCAGAACCTCACAGCCTTGCCTGAAAAGTTGGGTTTAGAGTGAAAGCCTGATCCACCCACAAGGCTTTCCAGGTGAAGAGTGCTGAACCATTGGCTACCGGTAGAGTCACAGAAGGCAAGCAATGTGGGGAGGAAAATGGCCACTCGAAATCAGCAATGGGGGCTGGAGATGGCTCAGAAGTTAAGAGCACTGGCTGCTCTTCCAGAGGTCCAGAGTTCAATTCCCAACAACCACATGGTGGCTCACAACCTTCTATAATGAGATCTGGTGCCCTCTTCTGACATGCAAGTGTACATGCAGGCAGAACACTGTGTACATAATAAATAAATCTAAAAAAAAAAAAAATTCAGCAACAAGGTTTTTGGCATTCCTGGGATCTGAAGTGGGAAGATGAGGAGGCATCTAAATGCCTGTTTTCAAGCTCGGCTGTAGTTATGTTAGGATTTTACTAGGTACCAGCCCCCCTCAGCCCAGTGTGACTCACTGTCAGGCCCCAAGGCCTTGCCAGTGGTCACTTGAGCTCAGAGACACTCTTAAGTTGCCTGCAGTCTAATTTAAGAATGTTGAAGAGAGTGGAAGCCTGATGAGCTTGCTTCCTGTCTGGACTAAAATTGGGATGCTATGACTCAAAGGAACAAGTGCTCAAAATGCATCAGAAATGACATCGTATAGGGTTGGGGTGGCATTATTTAAGTAAAATGTTTACTGAGTCAAGATGGGGAGCCTAACTTGCCTGTTACATCTTTAGAGTTTTCTCTCTCACTTAAAAAAAAAACAGTAGTCTCTGTTAGATCTTGAATTTTCTGGAATTGGCTTGTTACTTAAAAAATATTTGATTGGACCTAATGTCATGAGGGACTCACAGGGCTTAGAGGGTTCTTAGTGGTAGGGTGGCTGGCTGACATCCTTGACACTCCCAGAGAAGAATCGGGGGCTGGAAGTCTTTTATTCCAGGCAGGGGTGGCACATGCCTTTAATCCCAACAGTGGAGAGGCAGAGGACAGATCTTGAAGTTCGAGGACAGCCTGGTCTACAGAGTGAGTTCCAGGCCAGCCAGGGCTACACAGAGAAACCCTCAAACAAACAAATAAAAATGAAAGGAAGTCTTTTGTCTCTATGAATAGATGAGACACCTGTATCCCTCTTCTTAGAGGTTTTAAAGTGGATTCTGGGAAACTAAAATTACACACAATTCATTATACCGTTTACACATTTTAACACGAAACATGGAGTAGTCGGGGCATTAACCGAACTCCGAAATAAACTTTGAAATGACAGAAGCACTTGCTACCCCTCATAAAATCGAGAGCTTTACAGAGGAGTTCAGTTAAGGAAAGTGAATATTAATGCATCGTCTCTTTTTGTTGTGGTTCTGAGGATTGAACCCACAGCCTCTGTACATGCTGGCCCAGGGGTCCACCACTGAGCCCTGACAGTGCTATACCAAAAGAGGAAGTTAGTCTGTAAAGTTAGACTTTAAAATGGCTACATGTTACCACATTTGCCTCAGTTGACTGAAAAAAAAAAAAAAAAGGAGCTAGTCAGGCAGTGGTAGGTGGCACATGCCTTAAATGCCATCTCTTGGGAGGCAGAAGCAGAGAGATCTCAGAACACCCAGAAAGATCAAAGAAACCCTGTCTCAAAAAAAAAAAAAAAAAAAAAAAGCCAGGTGTGGTTGTGGACACCTGCACTCAGGTAGGGAGTAGCAGGTGGATCTGTGTGAGTTCAGGGCCAGCTCAGTGTGGTGTGTGTGTGTGGGGGGGGGGGTGTCTTTTGTCTTCAGTGCATTTTTTGCTATACATCCAGAGTGGAATATTACTTTGCCCTGGGAGCCAAATTAGCACGATTCAGGCCAAGTTCCAGGTGTGGCTGGCCAGAGGGAGCTGTGTCATACGAGGGCTCCTTAACCTAAATTTCCTCTCTGCTGCTTTACTCCCCTCTGTGAGGGCGGAGTGACATCACAGAGGTCGCCCTTGCCAGGTCCCTGCTCTCTGGGTAACCAGCCACTGCCCTGCCCTCATTGTCAGCCTTTGCCTTGTAGGTGTCAAGGTCCAAATACAGTCTCTCAATGGCGAGCACTTGCACATCCGCGAATTCCATCGGGTCAAGGTGGGAGACATTGCAACTGGCATCAGCGGCCAGGTAAGGAAGTGGGTGGCCCTTAGGGACAGAGTTCTTCAGTAGGAAGACTTTTAAATTAGTAGTAGAACTGGCACCCTGGGGAAGAGTGGCCCAAGACTTAGCCATCCTCCAGCTCTCAGGGCAGGACAGGGAGGGGGTGCTGAGGAGCTCTGGACCCACACTTGGGCTAGGAAGGACTCGCCAGGTCCTCTAGAATGGACAGGCAGTGCTCCCTGCCTGCTGCCTGTTTGACAGAAGATGTCTCCTAGCATGTTTGGGGACCATCAGCTTGACACCCTAGCTGGCTTCTCACCCCATGCCACCACTGGTTTGCTATACTCACAGATCCCAGCCCCCGCCTTCAGCTTGGTGACCAAAGACGGACAGCCTGTTCGCTATGACATGGAGGTGCCAGACTCGGGCATCGACCTGCAGTGCACCCTGGCCCCCGATGGCAGCTTTGCCTGGAGCTGGAGGGTCAAGCATGGCCAGCTGGAGAACCGGCCCTAGCCCCATCCAACCGTCACCACCTCCTCTCTGGCCACAGCAGGCTGCCTTTGAATCTCAGTATGCGGAGCTGCCCTGACGCCAGCTGAGTCTGCTCAGGGAGTCCCTGGTTCAGCACCAAGCCCAGGGCTTGCCTCCCGAGTGCTGCTGGCCCCTGGGGGGAGGAAGACAGGGGTCTCATCCCCCGGGAAAAGCACCAGCGCTGTCGGTGATGCTCCAAGCAAGGGAGCCAGACCCACACGATCAGTCAGCACTTGCCAGCAATTGGGGAGCAGCTTCTAGCCTTCGTCACAAAGAGCAGGTACCCCTAGGAAGGCAGGAGAGTGTCTAAGGGTTCCTGTCCAGCTCAGACGAGGGCAAGGCAGCAGGTGTGCCTGCCCAGGCCCCCCTCCCCCCGTTGTCTAGCCTCCCTGGCCATTGACTAGTGTGAGATGGAGAGAGCAGGAAGGACACTAGCTCCTTGGTGGAATGCACCACACTTGCAGGTTATTGCAGCCCAGGTCCTAAGTTGAGCTGAGAAGTGATTCTCAGACCTCAAGTTTGTGGCTGCTGGATATGGCTCCTCCTCAGAGAGTGAGGCCTCACTGAGGCCTACCCTCTGGCTAGCTGGCACTCTAATCCCTCATCTGTGAAAATGAAGGATGACCTGAGACCCACCTGATAGGAACGGTCCGTGAATGATAGATGCTAAAGAAAGCCACAGATGGTAAAGAAAGCCACTTACCCTCCAGGGCAATCGGTCAAAATCCAGCTTGCCAGCTTCGTGGTGGCAAGATACAGCCAGCAGCACTTTGCACTCTGACGAGCTCAAAAGCACTTTCCTGGCTCCCTTCCAGCAGAGCACTGGCTCTGCGTGGACACAAGCAGGCCAGGGGATGGGGAAGGGACTGTCTTGACCCATCATCCACCGCAGGCTTGACCCACCTCAAGCTTCTTTCAGAGTTAAGATGAGCACCCCTACCCGCACTGTCCTAGCCAGAGCTTCTCCTGGTGGGATTTGGGAATAGCTGCTTAGGACTCATGTAGCATTAAGTTAACTGTGAATCATTGTGGGGAGGGGCACAGAGAGCCCCTCCGCTGGAGAAACGCATCCCCCCACCCCCACCCCAGCCAGCCAGGATAGCTTCTGCCCAGCTATTGGCAAGGGGAGGCTGCTCCTGGCCCTCGTGAGGAACTGCAGCCACGGTGCTGCATTTGGGGTGTGCTGAGCACTGCAAGCAATAAAGTTTGGAACGATACCGGGTATGTGCAGGCTGTGCTGTCTCCTCTTTCACCTGACTGCTTGCTGTACTCCACTGTTGGGGGGGGGGTTCCTTCAAGTCTCCCCATTGTTGGGGGCAAGGACTCAAGGACTCAGCCCTTGAGGTGGGGTTGCCTGTCCTACCGTATCCCACTCAGACCTTCCACTCTGCCGGCTGCCCATCTCCTATAGCAGCCGGGGCATCCCTTGCCAGTCTTGGGCTGAGAGGAGGAGGCAAAGGACGCAAAGGAGCCCAGCAGGACCAGAACAGGAGCAGCTTGCATGACGCAAAGCTGCCATCCATCCTCACCTGTCCTGAGGCCTGGCAGCCAGAGGACCTACCTGGTGCCAGTTTGAACACCGGCATGAGGTAGTGATGACTTCCCCGATCATGGAGCAGAGGACAGAGGTGCGCTGACTGCTGCTGCACACACTTGCAATCCAGCCTTGAGCTACATGAAGAATGTGAGGCCGGCCTTGGCTACATGGGACTTCATCTCGAAAGAAAAAAATAATTGGGGGGTGGGGCCTTGAGACAGGGTCTCAACTATGTAGCTCTGACTGTCCTGAAACTCAGTATGTGGACAAGGCTGGCCTCAAACTCACAGAAGAAATCCTCCTGTTTTGCCTCCCCATTGCTGGAATTTAAACAAGGGTTTATCTACTATGTCCAGCTGAGGGGAAAGGGGTGGGGGATGAAGCCAGCTGAAATAATTCTGGGTAAAGGGGCCTAACACTAGACCTGACAACCTTAATTCCATCCCAGGAGTCACGCGGTGGAAGGCGATGACCACTTCCCTGTGACCTCCACACACATGGGCATGCTATGCAAATGTCCACACACAGATAATAAACGTAATTGTAAAAAACTGTAAGGTCACCCTGGGTGCTGCACGTTTGTACAGCTTGGATTACGATTGAAGGAATCTTGGACTCGCGCGCGCGCGCACACACACACACACACACACACACACACACTCTCACATGATGCAGCGGCTTTGTGGCCAGGGCCTGTCCTTACCGAGGGCTGCTGTCCATATACCTGGCCTGCTTCGGAGTGGCCAGCTCCCCCCCCCAACACACCCTGGTCTGGATCCAGGGGACTCTGGCTGCTGGACCTCCAAGCCTCGGCTGCTCCCACCCACATCCTTAGCGTGAACCTTCAAGTTTCCTGTCTGCCAGAGCCCTGGCCGGAACGTCACAGAAGCCGCATTATCACAGGCGCCAGCGCCCCATCACCTGCAGCGTGCCTCCACCCGGCTAGCCAAAGAGCGCACTGGAGGCAGAGGGGCAGCAGCCACCAGCCCGCTCCCCGCCTCTGGGACAGAGCCTACGTCAGCATGGGGGTGACAGGTAGGAGCCGGCGGGCGAGCGGTGGGCGGAGCCAGAGGTGGCGAGGTGTAGGCCGAGAAAGGGAAAATGAACGGTGACCCAGAGTTGGCCTGGGGAGTGGAAAGGAACGCTGACCCCAGCGAACCCCCTCGGGGTGCGTTTGGTTACTGCTGCAGGCCCGCGCTCGGCAAAAACTGGGACTGGATCGGTCCGGGGTCTTAATGAACTGAGCGCAACGGGCCTCCACTCGAGGGTGCACGAGCGCACGCCTGGCAGAGCGGAGTTAGGAATTTAATGTCTTTGCGAAGGCGAAGGCGGTCGCCCAGTCCACCTCGTGAGCTATTCTGAAGATCAGATACCACCCGCAGAGGGTCTAGGGTGGTATCAGCGGAAGACCACGTGCTCAGGTGGGTGGGCCGGGGGCTTCCGGAAGAGCAGTGAGGTCTAGAAGGCCTTGCTTGGTTGTTCAGGCCTGGTGTCATCACACTGGGAAGCCAAGAGGGCGCAGTGCGTGGTGTTTCAAAGATAGTGAGATTTAAGGTCTCTTCCAGGAAAAACGTGTGGTCACGGTCTCCAGAGCACCGTGGTGCAGGGATGAGTCTTGTCCTCCTCTCTCCTCAGCCCCTGAATACAATGACTGAGAGCATTTCCCTCTCAGCTTTATCAAAGCAAAAAAAAAAAAAAATACCCCCATCTCAAGGGTACTGAAGAGTTTATTTGCCGATGGAAAAAAAAAAAAAATCAATGCTCCCCACCAGGATGTCTCAGAGCAGCCACAGACCTATCAGTTTAACTTTTCTTTAAAAAAAAAAAAAGAAGAAAAAAGTGCCAGGCAGTAGTAGTGCAAGCCTTTAATCTGGAGCACTCCGGAAGCAGGCGGATCTCTCTGAGGTTCAAGGCCAGCCTGGTCTATACAGCTCGAGTTCTGGGACAGCCAAAGCTACACAGAGAAACCCTGTCTGGAAAAACTAAAAGAAAAAAAAAAAAAAAGTTCTAGGTTAAAAAGGAATCTGAATTTTAAAGCCAACCATCATTAGTGACTGCTGCCAGAATGAGTTTCTTGCTCTTGTAAGTTACTGGGTTTGTAAACTATTTCTTCCTCGTAGTAAGTTACCGGGATCCCTCCCATCAGCCTCCAGCTTCTACATATGCAAACACCCATACACGTGCAAACACAGACGGGCGCATAAAAGTGAGAATAAAACGCATTTGTGAATCAGTTGCTCCTGAGGTAAACAATGACTGCAGCAGCGGGATCTGCCGGCATTCGGTGAGCCTCTCCTCTCCGAGCCGGTGACACCCGTCGTCCATCTAAGGGAAATCCTTACTTGTTTCTTCTCCAGCTTTTGTTCCTTCTAGATTCTGTAGATGTCTTGGGTGGAGGAGAGAGCTGTTAGGACATTGCAAGCAGGAGAAACAAGGGCTCAACCCCCAGAACCCATGTAAAACGACAGGCACGGCAGTAGGGCCTGAACTCTCAATGCCAAGAAGGCAGGCAGGAGGGTCCCTGAGACCCCCGGCTGGCCGGATTAGACAGTGAGAGACCCTGCCTCAAAGGACAAGCGGGAGACCCCTGAGCAAGGACACCCGTGCACATATGTAAAAGAAGAGAGGATTCCTTATGGACTCTCTTCTCTCACTATGGCTTGGTGTTTGGGGTCCATTCTTTCTTGTTTTCCAGTGCTATTTGCCTGAAAGCTTTCTTCTATAACTCTTTTTCATAGCATCTTGGGTTTTTCGATAGGATACATTTTTAGTATTGTCCTCGAATCACTGAAAATGGCTGGCTTCTCTTTTAGGTAGTATTCTTCTGTTTCTCAAGTTACCCTTGATGTTCTGGAATCGATTCTCATCTGCATATTGACAGTTTTGTCAAATCTCGGGTGGCCCTCAGTTGCCCCTATTCAGAAATGAAATCATTTCAGAAGCTCATTGGGATCCCTTCAACTGTAGGTCTTGCTGCCTAGCCAGTGTTACTGAAGGGTGGTAAGACAGGAGCCAGGGGCACCATGGGAACGTCAGCATCTTCGGATGCCTTACCCAGGGCAGGAAGAGCACCCTCAACCCCTGAACCCTCCCTTCATACCTTGCAGCGTTGAGCTGCCCATGGAACTCGCCTGGACAGATGGGCTCAGCATCATGTGCGGCCTTTGATCTTTCTCCGTGGCGTCTGCCTCCATTCCATCAGATAACTATTCCTCCAGTCTTGTGCCTTCCACATTCTGGAAGCAAAAAGAGCTCTCCGGTGTGCTGTTCTCCTTGCTTAGTTAGTCATTATGAATTAATATTCATATATCCCCCTTCTCTCTTTCTCTCTCTCTCTCTCTCTCTCTCTCTCTCTGGATTAAACAGGGGAGACTTCCAAATGTTTGGCAGATTCTGTACCAGTGAGCAATATCTCAGCCCTGTCTTCTATCTAAGCTCCATTTTGAATAACTGGTCATAAGGAGCAAATGACGACACACTGTTAAGGGTTCCCTCACTCTAAGCAGATTGGTAAGTTATCCTATTACCATTTGAAGATAAACAATCAAAGCCTCAAAGCAGCGGTTCTTAGCCTTCCTAATGCTGCAAGCCTTTAATACAAGCTCCTCTTGTTGCAGCGACCCCAACCATAGAATTCTTTTCATTGCTACTTCATAACTGTAATTTTGCTACTGTTGTGAGTGTAATATAAATCCCTGTGTTTTCCAATGGTCTCTGGTGACCCCTGTGAAAAGGTCATTCGACCCCCAAAAGGGGTCATGATCCACAGGTTGAGAACCACTGCCTTAAAGAAACTAAAAATCACAAGCCAGCTGTGAAAATCTAGTGGACACATACAGATACATAATCTAAAGGGGACTTGAAAAAAAAAAATCGAAATGACACAGGTAAGCAAATGACAGAACAATCCATTTAAACACCAAAGGCAGATGACATGTAGCTCCCTTCTAAAGCAAGTGCTTAGCATGGGCAAGAGCCTGACTCTGTCTCCAGCACTCCCTGCCTGCAACCCCAGTCACTTCCAAACAGCAGCGATTACGTGAGTATACAGAAAAATGATGCTTGGGCAAGGGACAGAGCTGGGTTGATGGAGTGCTTGCCTGACATGCAAGGCTCTAGCTTCAATCTCCAGGATGCCTCAAACACTTTTAAGGGACTGGAGAGATGGCTCAGAGGTTAAGAACATTGGCTTTTCTTCCAAAGGTCCTGAGTTCAATTCCCAGCAACCATACGGGTGGCTCACAACTATCTATAATGAGATCTGGTGCGCAGGCAGGCAACACATGCAGGCAGAATGTGATCCCTCACCATCAATGCTCCCTGGGGAGCAGAGACTGAGACAGCCTGGTGCCCCACCTCTAGTGGGTGAAGGGCAGTTTCTGTAGGAGAGGACGGAAAGCCTCCTGGCCTTCTCCTTGCTCCAGGATGTCCCTAGAAACTCCACCTCCTAGGACTTCAAGGAGTGATTCAAGGTCACCACGCAGAAGTGAGGCCCAGAGCACAGGCCTTGACCTGGGTCTGTGGTAGGCGACGAGAAAGCGCTCAGGAGGCAGCAGGGGTGAAGAAGTTGGAGTGGGGAAGTTGTTCAGGGGTGGGATGGGTCCTGTGGAGGATGGCAGCGCTGAAGGTGAAGGGAATTCTGAAGCCTGCATTCAAGTCCTTGACTTAGCAACCGCCAGCTGTGGAAAGCCTCTGGCGCTGCGTGTGGAGCCAATGAGGTCCGCAGTCCTGGGGGCATTCACGCTTGTGGAAGAGGCAATAGGTCCAAGAGTTGGGAACGAGGCCAAGATGGCAAGCAAAGGGTAGTAGACAGGACTGGCAGCCCTGGCAAGGGGATGAAGAGGGGAGGGGTAAGACGGGAGGGATGATGGAGGGTGGGCTGGAGGGGAGGGGAAGAGGGGAGAAGACAGTGGCAGCAGCCCAGGGACTACTCCCACCCCGACGCTCCCTGTCCTTTCCTTTTTTCTCCCTGCCAGATGTCAGTGCATTCCCCTGCTGTGGCAAGAGTTCAGTGGACATCGTGGAAAGAACGTGAGGACCGGCTCCCGCCAGCACGGGGCCTCCCCCCTCCCCGCCCTCCCCCACCCCGAAAAGCCCTAGGCTCTCAGCCCCTCCCTCAAACACCGTGCACTGACACCCAACTGGGATCTCCTCCTCTTTAGCTCCTTTTCAGAAATCTCCTCAGGGCCAGTGTCCAGACAAACGGCTGGGGTTGCCTACCCCCCCACATACACCCCCACACACATACACCCACACACACATATGCCCCCCCCCCGCCCGCCTTCAGCCGCCAACCCTAGCTGAGGGCTACGGGAGAGCTCATGGAGGCTTGGCGGCCTTGCTGGGGGCAGATAGAGCTGTCTGAGGTAGGGAATGACGGGAGCCTGAAGAGGGGACAGGAGCAACTAACTAGGAGTAGGGAATGAGTGAAGGGGCCCTGCATTTCTCCCGTGGAATCTCATATCTGGCAGTGGGTAGGTGAGCAATGGGCCTACTCTGGACCTTCCCTGGGCAGGGAGCCATTTTCTGGACATGATGCCCTTAATAAGAATGAAGATTCCCAGGTCCCTCCTCCAACCAAATGGAGTTGAAAGATCGGGTTGACAAGCCCTCCGGAAACTCGGGGAATCTTAAGAATGCCACCAGCTCAGGAGCACAGTTCCTAGTGCACAGCGCGAGGGCCTGAGATCAAATGTCCAGAACCCGTGTGAAAACCTGACTGTGCTAACACTGTAACCCTAGAGCTGAGAGATGGACGCAGGAAGACCCCAGGGGCTCACTGGCCAGCCACTCTAGCAGATCGGCGAACTCCACACTCAGAGACAGATCCTGTCTTTAAAAAGTGAGGTGGAAAATAACTAAGGCAGACACCTAAGGTCAACCTCTGGTCTCCGTGTGTGTGTGTGTGTGTGTGTGTGTGTGTGTGTGTGCGCGTGTGTGTGTGTGTGTGTGTGTGTGTGTGTGTGTTCGAAAGAATACACACTCCAGAGTTCCTAATAGAACAGGCACAGTGGGGGCTACAGATGGGATCTTCTTGCCAGTCCCCTGTACAAGGCCAAAGCTTGGAGGGCCCTAGAGATCCTTCCCCTGACAATCCTTCCCATGAATCTGTCACCCATTTGGATGCCTTCTGCCTCAGGAATGACTACTACCACACCCATGGAAAAGCAGAGGAGGAAGAACCAGAGGTGAGAGCGTCACACCTTTCGCAGAGGTAGCAGACAAAAGGGCAGGGTCTTTATGTTTGGCCATTCTGGGACTGTAGTACCAGACCACATACGCACCTTCAACGCCTGCCTGCATGGCCTTGCCTGTCCCGGGCAGGTCTCCAAGAAGCACGAGGAGACAAGGAATGGGTAGGGTGCCACACAGGAGCAGGACAGAGGCCTGGGGTCGGGGGAGGGAGGGGTGTCCAACTCGTGTTGTCTCACTTTCACCTGAAACCTTTCAGCTGGAAGCAGAATTGCCAAAGCAGGACCCCCTACCCAAAGCGCACCCAGACCCAGACCTAGGCCCGGTACCACAGCTGGAGGAGATGGAGCCAGTGGTATCCTCTGCACCTACGTCTAAGGCCAAAGGAGACTGCGTCACTGAAAGCCTAGAGCAGCAGAACTACAGGCTCGAACCCCTCAAGTCCTATGAGAAAGATCGGAAAGAGTGGTCACCCACAAACAGGACCTGGACCCTTAGTACAAACTCAAGCAAAAGGGAGGAAGGGCAGGTGTCGGACAAGTTTCGTTCCATCCGTGTGCAGACCTCCAAGCACCTTTTCTGGTCAAACAAGCTCATCCAGGCCTCAGAGCACAGCCTACAGCGCGCCTTAGAAAAACACAAAAGCTCCTGGGAAAAGAAGTCTGTGACCATACCCCAGGCCCTCACAGACAGCGCCCCCCGGCCAGCAAGCCCCCACATGTCTTGCACCAGCCTGCCCGCAGCCATGGGCCTGGCAGATCTGATCAATTTTGCATCTTCCCTGGCTGTGGCCTCCTCCAGCAACGTGGAGACACCCAACCTAGAGAATATGATCAAAGTTACCTCTGAGAAGTCTCAGAATACCTCTCTAGAGCTTTGCCAGCCTGTCCAGGCCATCGAGTTTGCCCAGGCTACCCAGCTCACCCAGATATCCTCGGAGAAGCCAAATAAATCACCCAAAGACACAAGTCACAACTCTTGGACTCAGGAGACCAGGAATGTCTCTTACCTAGATATTAGCAAGAATGGGCTCAAGAAGGCTACCATCCAAGGGGAAGTGAAGTTTGTCCAGGCATCAAGCACATCCCCTCCGTTTCAGGGAGCCAAAGAAGAGTGAGTGAGGTTCCCCTGCTGCCCTTGCACAGGGGCCTGCACTAGCATGTGGGGTGGACTCACATAGCCAGATGGGGTGTCAAACAGTGGAATGGATGGGGGGAGGGGCTGGGCAGGGGACCCAGGCAAGCTTAGTTGATGGCCCAACCTCAGTGACCTCACAAAGGCTGCTACAAACAAGATTCCGGTGTCCTGAGCTACACCAGCAAAGCCAGGGCCGGAGGAGGTCTGGGGACCATGGAGGGTGAGCTCCCCAGGGCGAGGACGGAAACCTGGGTTCAAAATGGGCAGGGCCTCGGGGAGCAGACATGCTTCACCACCGTCTGCCCCCTGAGAGAGTGGCGGTCACATTCCTAGGGCACAGGACAGCTCCGTGAAGGAGCGTGAGCATGAGCGAGCCCTTGGCCTCTGGTGATATGTAGACACAGAACAGAATGCCAGCTGCCCCCGCAGGTGCAGTGGGAGAGTCCCTGTACCCTAACGCCCTAGTGACACTGTCTCTTTTGTGTTGCAGCTCCATGCCAAGAACCAAGAAAGGGAATCCATTATTGCTGAAAATCCATTTTAAGCTGTCATCCCCACACCCTCAGAGAAATAACTAGACAAAAACATTAAAGCCTCCAGTGCTGGCCCCGGTGTAGAGTTTTTGTTTTGTTTTGTTTTGTTTTGTTTTGTTTTGTTTTGTTTTAGGTGCTGAGATCAAGGCCAGGGCCCTGGGCATATTTAGGCTAGTGTTTTACAACTGAGCTATCTCTTCTGCCCTTGGGTTTTTGAGATAGTGTCTCCTGTAGCCCAGACTGGCCTCAAACCCTTGATCTGCCTACCTCAGGCTTCTGAGTGCTGACATTACAAGTATGCAGCACCCTGCTTGGGCCCCAGCTCAGGCCTGGGGGACCATTGCCTCCTAGCCACTGAGCACACCTGGCTGCTCTCAAATTTTTTTAAGATTGTATTTATTGTATTATTATTATTATTATTATTATCATTATTATCATTATTATCATTATTATTATTATGTATACAATGCTTTGTCTGCATGTACACCTGCACGCCAGAAGAGGGCACCAGATCTCATTATAGATGGTTGTGAGCTACCATGTGGTTGCTGGAAATTGAACTCGGGACCTCAGGAAGAGCAACCAGTGCTCTTAACCTCTGAGCCCTCTGGAAGCAATTTTTTAGGGATGACACCTCCATTTTTTTTTTTTTTTTTTAGCCTCTGTGCCCCAGAAGTTCCAGCATCATTCCCAGCCCTCTGAGTGGTTCCACTTTACTCCCACCTACCAGACCACTAGGCCACATTGAAACACTCCACATGAGCGAAAGCCCCATCCCATTCTTCAGTTTCTTAGGCTTAAAGGGACATACAGGCATCCTGTGAGGATGTGGCTTCCCTGGAGGTGGGGCTGAGCAGATGAGAAGGTAAACCCAAAGGGAAGCCTTCCTATAGCCCGTGGGGAGACCTGGGAAGGATGTTGTTTGAAGGCTTGAAGGAAAGAAAAGCTGAGGTAGATAGACTGATCTTTCAGGAGGCCACAGCCTCCAGCAAGAAGTAACTCCAAAGGTAGGGAGACCCCACCTTGTACCCACACCAGCCTGGCACTGGCATAACACCATGCCCATAGACAGGAAACACAGTCCACGAGTGCAGGACACACACATACCTTAGGACCAATGACGGGTAAAATAGTCACACAGAGGCACACCTCCACTTTGTCTGGGGTCAGGCTTCAGAGGCCCAGAAGAGAGAAATATGAGTGATCATCTGCTTTTGGCAAAGGCCAGGAGGCTGTGAAGGAGGGGAGGGAATTTGTGTCTAAAGAAAGAGGAGGGGCCCGCCTGGTCCACAGCCAACTATGTGTGTGACTGGAGAGGTGGGGGTGGCGGACATCTTGCTCTGGGTAGCCCATGCTAGCTTCCGGCTTGTGGCCACCTCTCTTCCTTGGCTCTTGCCTCAGCCTCCTGAGTGCTGGGATTACGGGTGGAGGTTTACACTGCCACATCAGCTTCTGCTGTTGTCATCGGTTGAGACAGGGTCTCCTGACTATCTCTTGCCTTTGCCTAATGAGCGCCAGGATTAAAGGCATGCGTCAACGCATGGCTTTTTTTCTTTCTCTTTTTTCTTTTTCTCTTTGTTTTCTGGAGACAGGGTTTCTTTGTGTAGCTTTGAGTGTCCTGGACTCCCTCGGTAGACCAGGCTGGCCTTGAATTCACAGAGATCCGCCTGCCCCTACTGGGATTACAGGCATGTGCCACCTTGAACCTGGCTTTGGCTTCTTTTTTCTTTTTGATACTGGATACAGCTGTGTAGCTCAGGCTGGCCTTGAACTCTCAAGAGTCCTGCCTTGGTCTGCAGAGTGCTGGGGTTGTCAGAGACGCATGCCACCCCACCCCCCAGCCTCTTGCACAGGATCTCAGGCTCCCTGCCAAGAAAAAGGTCCATCAAGACCCTAGTAAGAGGCTGACAAGGGGAGTGGCTAGGGACGGAGATGTGGGATGAGGGAGCAGGGAAGCAGGCCGGAAGGCAAAGGAACGGGAATCTGGAACGGGGACAAAGAGAAGATGCAGAGGTGGCTGTCTGGCCGAAGGGTCATTCAGCTCCTAGGATTCCTCTTTTAGGAGTTTACTGTTTTGATGGGATTTTTTAAAAGTAAATTGTTTTTTTAACCAGAGGTGCTAGCACATAGCCATCACCCCAACCCTCAGGAGGTGTCAGCAGAAGGATCAGAAGTTAAATGTCACCCTTGCACTAGGCTTGGTGGTCATGCTTAAAGTCCCAGCACTTGGGAGGCAGAGGCATGAGGATCTCTCTGAGTGCAAGGCCAGCCTGGTCTACATAGCAAGTTCTAGACCAGCCAGGGATATATCATGAGACCCTGGGGGGGGGGGGGGGGGGGTTTTTTTTTTTTTTTTTTTTAAGTCAATCTCAGCTAAATAGCAAGTTCAAGGCTAGCCTGAGCTGTGCAACATAACACCCTATCTCAAAAAAATGGCTTTAGGTGCACTAAAGAAGTGACAAGGACAGAGAATTCCTGTGGGGTTCCTTCTCTGCCCCGCCCCCAACAGCCTCCCTGACAGGAACATCCTGAAACAGAGACACACGGCTACACAGACCCACACTGGTATACCATGGCCCAAAGCCCATAGGAACATTAGGATTCCTTCCCTCTTGCTATACCCTGTGACAACGGATGTACCTCATCGTATCACACAATGTAATTTGTCCACCCTAAACACCCTCTGTACACCACCCCTTCCTCCCTCCCCCCAACCCCTGGTGCCCACTGATTTGTTACACCCCGCTTTCGCTCTTTCCAGAACGAACTGGAATCCAACCTTTTGGAGCCTTCTCAAACAGGTCTCTTCCCCTTAGGGAGCATCTAACGTCCTTCCGTATCTTTTCACATCTTGGCAGCTCGTTTCTTTTAGCACTCAGTAATATTCCATTATCCAGATGGACTGGTAGGTTTTTCCATCCACCTTCCAAAAGCCCCTCTTGGTTGGAATGTTTGCGGCCGTTAGGAAATTGCAATAAATATCGGTGTGTGGCTTTTGTTGTGGCCTGAAGCTTTAAAATCATAATAAATTCCAGGGACCACGGTTGTTGCTCTATGTATGTTGTGAAGGTGTGTTCGTGGGATGGAGGGATGGTTCGTCCGTTAAAGACCGAACTCAACCTAAACAAGATGTGTTCAGATCTGCAAGAAACTGCTGAAGCGGCTTCCAGAGCGGCTCACTTAGCAGGCTCAGCATCTTGTGTGTGGTAATGAACAATTCATTTTTACATATTGTTGAATTCAATTTGCTAATCTTTTTTCAAAAATGTTTGCATCTGTACTAGCAAGATGGTTCCGGGGTTAGCTAGCACCTCTTACTCTCCCAGAGAACCTGAGTTCAGTTCTCAGCACCCACACTGGACTGTTCACAACCACCAGCTCCAAGAGCTCAGATGCTCTCTTACAGTCTCCAAAAGCACTTACACTGATTTACACAAACATGCAAATACACGGTACATTCATGTACACACACACACACACACACAAATGAAAAGCTTTGAAGACAATATTTTGAGATGGGGTTTCACCGTGTACCGCTATTGGCCTGGAACTATCAGTAATCTGCCTGCCTCTGCCTCCAAAATGTTGGGATTAAAATCATGTGACATCACACCTGGCCATGGCCCAAATAATGTTTTTTGTTTTGTTTTGAGACAGGGTTTCTCTGTGTAGCCTTGGCTGTCCTGGACTCACTTTGTAGAACCAGGCTGGCCTTGAACTCACAGCCATCAGCCTGCCTCTGCCTCCCAGAGTGCTGGAATCAAAGGCATAGGTGCCACCATGCCCAGCTGGCCAAAATAATTTTTAAAAACAAGACTTCGGTATGTACATTTTTTTTTTTAAGATTTATTTGTTTATACAGTGTTCTGCCATACACAGCAGAAGAGGACACCAGATCTCACTATAGATGGTTGTGAGCCACCATGTGGTTACTGGGAATTGAACTCAGGACGTTTGGAAGGGCAACCAGTGTTCTTAACCTCTGAGCCATCTCTCCAGCCCTTCGTGTGTGCATTCTTGAGGAGTATTGTAGTTTTCTGGAAAGTCTTGTTCTGTTCCGGGTGAAGGGTAATGGCCTTACAGGATGGATTAAGGTATTGTAGAGAGGTGATGGTACTTTAATAAAAGTTTGATTAAAAAATCATCTGAATTTATATGGGCCTCTCCCTGCTTCGGATGTTTGTTAATTGGTTTGATTTCTTTAGTAGATATAGGTTTATTCAGATTGTTTTTCTTCACATGTGTTTTGGCAGCTTCTGTTTTTCAAGAAATTGGCCTATTAAGGTTATCAAACTTATAGGCATGGTCATTTATGATATTCATTTATCATGCTTTGACTATCCATGAGATCTATAGTAATGTCCCTTCCATAATGCTATTACTCTTTCCCTCACGCCTATTTTTGTTTGTTTTGTGCTCTGTGTGTGTTTGCACACGGGCACACACGCACATCCGTAGATGGCATGAGTACGGTTGTCAGGGCGGCTTGATGGAGCCAGTGCGAGTCCCCTTTGTGGGTCTTGGTGACCTTTGAACTCAGATCATCAAACCTGTCATCAGGTAGGCAGCTTGACTGAGCCACCTTGCCAGCCCTATCTACTTTATTGCTCTTTCAAAGAACAAGATTTTGGCATTTATTGTTTTCACTACTGATTTGCTGCTTTCCAATCTTAATTTTTGCTCTTTTAAAATTTATTTTCCTTTATTTTATGTGCACTGGTGTTTTGCCTGCATGTAAGTCTGTGTGAGAGTTTCAGATCTTGGAGTTATGGAAGGACACTGCCATAACTGCAAGCTGCCATGTGGGTGCTGGGATTTGAACCCGGCAGTCAATGCCCTTAAGCCACTGAGCTGACTCTCGAGCCCGTCTTTGTTATCTTAGTTCTACTTACTTGAGATGTAATTTGGGCTTCTTTCTCTAGTTTCTTGGAGTAGAAAGTCTATTGGTTTTAAATATTTCCTTTTCTAAAACATGCGTCTGATGCTACAAATGTCTCTGTGGGCAGCTTTTGTTATATCCCACAATTTCGAATAAGTTGATTTTT